TGTGTGTGTGTGTGTGTGTGTGTGTGTGTGTGTGTGTGTGTGTGTGTGTGTGTGTGTGTGTGTGTGTGTGTGTGTCAGGTGGGATCACTCAGGAGGCGGAGTTTGCTGCAGTGAAGTTCCTAAAGTCTCCATACAGACTGAGCCTGGTGTCCACGCCCCCCTTCATCAAACCTGGCCTCCCCTATAACATCCAGGTGAGGTGACTTTAACATATAACCAGTTACACTTAAAGCATGTGGTCAGTTTAACAAAAGGCTAGACCTCAACGCCTCCCCGTAAGTGTAAATCTTACCGGTCACGTTGAACGGAAACCCTGGTCGCTCGGTTCAGAGACCTTTATTAAGACTCCCCAGTGACCTCTGACCTCTGCTTCTCCCTGCAGGTGGTGGTGAAGGATCACCTGGACCAACCGGTGAACAGGGTCAAGGTGCGCCTGGTGGAGAGGCAGCTGTTCAGGAAGGGGGGGGCGAGCGAGGATCTGCCCTGCCCCCTGAGCTCCGTCAGCCAATCAGACGGCATCGCTGTGTTCATCTGCAACACGCCGCGCGAGGGGGTCCGAGCGCTGCTGAAGGTCAGGGGTCAACGTTTACTAAAAACACCACAACTCTCTTTTACACTCATCTTTGTTTTCTTATTGTTTTGTTTTTATCTTTTTTATTATTTACTTGTTGTTTGCATACTGTGTTTGTGTGTTTCTGGCTGTCATTAAGCTGTTTATTTATGTGTTGTAAACCTGTTGTTGTTTACTTGGGTTTGCTATTTCAAAGTGTTGATTTGTACATGTAATTTATTTGCAGCTGTCTTCTTTTCTTCCTGTTGTCTCCTTGTTCTTTCATATTAAACCTACTGTTGTTGACTTCTTTGTCCTCTGTTGTGTTCACAGTTTCAGACGGAGGTCCCGGCCCTCCCAGCAGCCTCTCAGGCGCTCCTGGTCCTCGAGGCGTTGGCCTTCCACTCCCCGAACCAGCGCTACCTGTACATCGACCCTCCAATGCCGGGCAGCAGCCTGGAGGCCGGGCGCTTCGGCAACATCAAGGTGTACTCTACCTCGCCCTCCTACGTTCCAATCAGAGCGCTCAGCTACCTGGTGCGGAGACCCTGCTGATCATATATTCAATTTCACACATTAATACAGGGATATCGTATTTCTGTGTTGGTCCCTGAAGGCAGCATCTCCCTTGACCAATAGGATTTCTCCATGTGATCATGTCAGAAGATAATCTCTGTGTCAAACAAACGTTTATGATGTTTGTTCGTAGCCTTTATTTAACCAGGTGAAATCCCCTTGAGACCAACAATCTCTTTTTCAAGGGAGACCTGCAGCACGTTGGTTACACAGAAAAACAACAGAACACAAAAAGGACATCAATACAACATCATTACAGGGGTATCCATTAGCAACCTATTCACAATGACAGATATCTAATAACATTTCATCTATCCGAGCTTTAAAATGATGCAAGGGAACCAAAAGGCTCAGTTTCAATTTGTTTTGCAGAGTGTTCCAAGCTAGAGGAGCACAGAAAAGCTTTAGTGCCTAAAACAGTCCTAGCACTCGGCACATGTAATAAAAACACATCCTGGGATCTCAGGCAATAGCTACTTGCCACTCTCTGTGAGATCAGAGAGCAGATGTAAGGTGGTAGTTTACCCAGCAAGGCTTTATAGATGAACATGTACCAGAGACTGAGCCTCCGTACAGTGAGTGAAGGCAGACCTGCCCTGGCATGCAGGGTACAGTGATGAGTGAGTGCTTTACAGCTACTAACACATCTCAGTGCACTGTGATAGGCGGCATCTAACTTGATTCATATAGATCAGATCACCATAGGCACAGGTCAAAAGGTCACAGAGCCTTTTCCTGGCCTCAAGCGAGAAACAGGACTTGTTCCTGAAAAAGAAACCTAGCCTAACCTTCAGCTTTCTAAGCAGGTTAATGACCTGAAGTTTAAAAGTGAGACAATCATCAAGCCAGATACCAAGGTATTTGTAACAGGTAACCACTTCAAGTTTTATTCCTTGCGTAGTTACAATATCTAAAACAGGCTCTGGTGTCTTTTTAGCTTTAGAAAAGAGCATTACCTTGGATGATCAACATTTAAAAGAAGCTTGAGTTCAGAGAGCTGAGTCTGAATAATGTTAAAAACAGCCTGTAATTGAACACCAGCCTCCTGAATGGAGGGACCTGCACAGTACATCACGGTATCATCCGCATACAAATGTAAAGTGGCTTCATCCACATTTTCACCTAAACTGTTGATATAGATGGAGAATAAAAGTGGACCTAAAACAGAACCTTGAGGAACACATTAGTAATGTTTAACCACTAAGAAGACAGC